ATAAAACCTACACTGAACATTTTCATGAAAGCCAGAAAGTAGAAACAATCCCAAATGTCCATCAACTGACAGATAGATAAATAAAATATGGCATCCATATCATAAAATATTATTCAAAAATAAAAAGAAACAAAACTCTGATACATGCTACACTACGGTTGAGCCTGGAAAGCACTGTGCTAAGTAAAAGAAGTCAGTGACCAAAACGCCATATATGTTATAGTTTCCTTTATATGAAATTTCAGAATAGGCAAATACATAGAAATAGAAAGAAAATTAGTAGTTATATAGAGCTGAGGGTGAGGAGAGATTGAAGGGAAGTGGAGAGTGACTGATAATAGATACAGGGAGTTTGGGGAGGTGATGAAAATGTTTTAATATTTATTGTGGTGATGGTTGTTCAACTCTATTAAATTATTAAACACCATTCAATTTCACACTTCAAATGTCAAATGGGTATATTTCAGCTTTTTTTTCTTTCCTTTCTTTTTTTTTTTTTTTTTTTTTGAGTGAGTCTCACTATGTTGTTTTTGGTAGAGTGCGTGGCATCACAGCTCATAGCAACCTCAAATACCTGGACTTAAGTGATTCTCTTGCCTCAGCCTCCCAAGTAACTGGGACCACAGGCGCCCACCACAACACCCAGCTATTTTGTTGTTGTTGTTATTGCTATTTAGCAGGTCCTGGCTAGGTTCAAACCCACCAGCCTGTGTGCACTGAGCTATAGGCATCAAGCTTCAAATGGGTATATTTCAGTTATGAATGAAGTCAAAATAAAACTGCTTTTTAACAATGTAACCTAAACACGTATACCTTCCTATCAATATGAATTTTTTTTTTAAAAACTGCTTTTTAGAAATCTGGTCCATGGGTTCAATGCCTGTAGCTCAGTGGCTAGGGCATCAGCCACATACACTGAAGCTAGCAGGTTCGAACCTACCTGGGCTTGCCAAACCACAATGACGACAACAACAACAAAATAACCGGGCATTGTAGTGGGCACCTGTAGTCCCAGCTACTTGGGAGGCTGAGGCAAGACAATCGCATAAGTCCAAGAGTTTAAGATTGCTGTGAGCTGTGATGCCATTGCACTCTACCGGGCAACATAATAAGACTATCTCAAAAAAATAAAAAAATCTGGTCCATGTAACATTTCACTTTCTCAGTGCAGTTATGGATTTATTCCTTTCATGTGGCTTTCTCCCCACTTTGATGAGATTTGGGAAGGGATAGTAAATGTGCTTTCTCAGTTCACTCTCTTGATTAAGACATTCCCAAGAGATTATTTTGAAGAAGAACTGCCCCAGAAAATACCAGGCACATAGAAGGGATGGAACTATCTACATCCTACAAGAGGTAGAAATGAGTTTATCAAGACAGAAAAAGTCAAGTCCTGGTCAAGGAATATAAGAAGACTAGTATGGTTTTCATACGAGTCTAGTGGTCTAAAGGTCTAAAGCAACTTCAAGAGAGAACTTATCTTCATGACATTCTGCCCCTCAAGCAGTGTGACATGGTTTTAAGAAGTTTTCTCTTGAAGTATGTAATAGAAAGTTAAAAATGAATACAGAGATACCAGGGCTGATATGCTTTGTTTTCATGAAAGCTTCCACAGTAAAAGGAGCTTGGACTCTTCCAGGAAAGGGTCGGGCAATTGCAGGACCCCTAACCACACGGATGCATGAAGAGGGTCAGCAGCCTCTCAGTAACCAGGGTACTTTCAAATCAAACCCAACATCTTCTCAGCATTTCTGCACCTATCTTAAAACTTCAGCTGATAGTATTCTACTATGAGTATATATAAAAGAAACTTTAATTCATAATGATAGGATCTCAGATCTCATAGTTAGTGACCCTGCTCCACTCTCACATGCTGCCTCAGTCCCTCTATTGTCCACTAACAAGTGGTAATCTAACCTCTGTTTGAGCATTTATGACAATAGTTCACTACCTTACAAAGCACCTCATTCTATATTCATACAGCATCATTAGCTAGAAAGTTTTTCCTGATATTGAGGCAAATTCAGTTTGTCTGTGACTGAATGTGGTCCTAAATAGACTTTTGTTTACCCCAAATAGGCCTTGTATGACCTTTTCCATATAGCAGCCTTCTTGAAAGCAATTATTAAGTACTTTTCAACATGTATCATCCAGGCTAAGTATCAAAAGTCTCTTTAGGCTCAGCGCCAGTAGCACAATGGTTATGGCACCAACCACATACACTGTGGGTGGCAAGTTCAAGCCCAGCCCAGGCCTGCTAAACAACAATGACAACTGCAACAAAAATAGCTGGGCATTGTGGGGAGCACCTGTAGTCCCAGCTACCTGGGAGTCTGAGGCAAGAGAATAGCTTAAGCCCAAGAGTTTGAGGTTGCTGTGAGCTGTGATGCCACAGCACTCCGTGGAGGGCAACATAGTGAGACTCTGTCTCAAAAAAAAAAAAACTCTCTTCAGTGGCTCTTTGTGCAACAAAGTTTAAAAAGTTCATTGCCATCTTGGTTGTTCTTAAACTCTCTGGTAGCTAAGCCAAGCTTGTTTTCACATTCTTAAAATAGGGATGGGTGGTATTGTCTATGGCCCTGAACTAGCGAAATGAATTTATCTATGTGACAGTATTTAGGCATTTATCCAGATAAAATGACTTAAATTTTAATTTAAAACACTTTGTAAAATTAGATAGTATTAAAAATGTGTCTGCTGGGCAGTGCCTGTGGCTCAAAGGAGTAGGGCTCCAGCCCCATATATCGGAGGTGGCAGGTTCAAACCTGGCCCCAGCCAAAAACTACAAAAAAAAAGTGTCTGCTTTCTAGAGACAACTCAGCAAAGCACATCAGAAACTTGCAACTGTAACTACAGCCTGAGGACATACCTGAAATTTCTAGGAAGCTTATTAGAAGTAAAGTATCTCAGGCCCACCCCATATCTACAAAATCTCCATCAGCATTCTAACAAGATCCCCGATTGGTTCATGCATACATTAAAGTGTAAGGAGCACTGTAGACTTAAAAATGAGCCAACACTTTCACTCAGGAATTTCTGTGTTAGGCATTGATCCTGAAAAAATGATCGGGTAAGTATGGAAGAAATGTACATGAAGTACGCTGAATTTTTATAATAGCAAAATCTTAGGAAAGTTTACTAATAGAAAATTGTCCAGGTGCTTTAGAGCTCCCTTCCACAAGTGGTACACTCAGGTATGCCAAGGACCAACGAGTTGAGGAAACCATTGACTACATGACATTCTTTGGGGAAGCTTATTGGTCCTTGGCACACACCTAAGTATGATTTGCCAGCCAGGGCTAACTTGTAGAGCAAGCTTGTTAGCTGGTACTGGTGCCAAGAAGATGCCTGCTCCTCAGTTCCTGTGCCGCTCTGAACGTAGGTGTCTGAGACATAATGCATGCTTGGCACAAGACGGCATGAATACCCTCCCATAGGTTGTCTCTGGGGGAGAACTGAGCCAGCCACCTCTGTCACCTCTCAAGGGTTGAGAAAACTAATTTGCTAGCACATCTAGGTATTTTATTTTCTCTATACAAAACACAGTTATTTCCAGCAGAGCTTCCACTGATATCATAACTAATCAGAGAAGAGACAGTGAAGATACAGTCGGAGAATTTTTCACGGGCTGTTTACAAAATTTGTGGCCCAACCGTCAACAAAGTAGATTAATTTGGGTTGTTTTTTTTTTTTTAACTTTTTAACTGAGAATTGTGTTCAGCTCTTTTGTTCCTTACTCACTGATCATCACTTTAGTTGTGGTTACTTCTGTCATGGAGCTGCTTTATTTATTAGACAGAGAAAGCCTTTTATCACAACCAAATTCACTTTGGGAAATGTCAGGGAACATGATGTTTCCTGAACACCTTATTTAACATTATAAAACAATCTTTCAATCCTATATCCCAGAGCTCCCTTCCCTGCTTTTTTTTTTATTTATCTATACCTTTCATTACCATTTACTGCTTATTTTATTTGATTGACTGATTGTCTGACTCCCTCCCCTGGAATACAAGCTCCTCGAGGGTGAGGAATTTGTCATTTGCCCATTGTTATATCTGCAGCACTTAGAAGGTGTCTGGCACCTAGGAAGTGTTCACTAGATATTTGCTGAATAGATTTAAATAAAGCATCTCAGGGTCCTTAGAATCACTGACCTTGGATTGGGGAATGGAGTCTTTCATTTCCATCATTTAGCCAACATCTAAGGTATACAAAGGATTGGTAGTCTCGTAACTTAGTCTTCTAATAAATGTTAGTGCTAATATCTGAAATTGTAAACACAGGTAAGCTATCCAGTTCTATACCAAACCAAAAAGAAGACAGTAGAAAGGAAGATCTTAGAAATCTCATAAGGATCATCCAACCCAGCATATACACAAGCAGAAAAATCAAGATGAGTCTGGGCAGGGTGAGCAGTCTGGGAACAGGTAACCACAGTGTGCCAGAATCCAGAAACCATCGAGTCTGAGATAACCAGGCCAGAACACAATCTGCCTTGTTCACCCAGGCACAGTGATATGTCACAAATACTGCCTGCCACTTAGAAGTCAATATTTGTTAGATGGTTGACTATGAAATGCAACCATGAAAAACGCTGCGATAGGTACAAAGGTATTTGAATTACTAGAAAGTGAAACATCAAGTTGGCAATTAGACTCCAATTCCATGTCTGTTTGTAGATGTGTATGTATCAGTTAGGTGAGATATCAAAAATATCAGTAGTGGTTATTTCTGGGTGGTGAGATTAGCTGTAATTTTAACTTCTTTTTATTTATCTCCATTTGCTCATTTTGCTAAGGAACATTTATTACATCATTATAAAAAGGATTTTTAAACTACCTGCATCCTACATGTACAAGTGCATACGCTGTTACTGCGAAGACATTCCACTGTTACTCTGGACCTCGGCGTGTTGCTTGATTTTAGGATCCTGATAGCCTTTGGAGTCCAGCTGGCACAGTGCTGAAGGAGGAGGAGATGCTCCTCCCATGTCTCACAGCCACCTCCAACTCTTAAAAACACTTCTGACCGCCTCCTAGCACACACTCAAGGAAGAAAACTATCCCGTGAAAGGTCACAAAAGGCAAAAACAAAGGTAAGGATGATAGCTGGGGAAAGAAGCGGACGAGGAAAAGCTCAGCAGTCTAACCAGAGATTTGGCTCATGTCCCTAGCATCCTGTTTTATTAAACACTTTGGCTTTGTTAAGCGGTTTGCTTTTAAACATTAAACCAAGATGTTGTAAACAAGGTTTGCAACAAAGTCCGTAAGACAACTTAGCATTTCTCAAGGGGAAGAAGGGACAGGGGTTTGTCTGGCATTTTATTCAATCAGTGCTGCTAATTAACACTACTGCTACAGTGTGTAAAGCCGATTACTTGATCATTCCAAAAGGGTACTCTTACATTTGTCCCAGGCAAGCAATATTCATTGACCAACTCCTTGGCAGAAGCCAATGGCAAAAAAGGTGGCAGTGATCGGAGCCGGGGTCAGTGGGCTAATCTCTCTGAAGTGCTGTGTGGATGAAGGACTGGAGCCCACCTGCTTTGAGAGGACTGAAGATATCGGAGGGCTATGGAGGTTCAAAGTAAGTGAGGTTCTCTGATGTTTCCAACAGGTTGTGCTGCTATTTCAGGGTGAATTATAGCTACTGATGGGCCTTTCTAAGAAATTTCTTAAGCAACTTTGATCATTCTCTAATATGCTAATTAGAGGTTATACAAATATTAGAGAACATTTTACAAAATAGAAGTAACAAGATTCTTTCCAGGATGCCACTTCCATTTCAATCATGGAGCCAAATGCTTCTTCAGAGGATGTGCTCCCATCACTATTACTTTTACCTAACAAATAGACCAGTTTTTTTTGTTTTGTTTTGTTTTGTTTTGTTTTTGCTGAGCTTTACTGATGACAGACACTTCAGTATACTTGCTATGAAATTCTTCATTCAATATGTTTTATTAATTAGGTTCATTCTTTCAGTCAAACCCAAATATTGATAATGCTAACTGTCCTTCAGAATTCACATGAAATCATTTCTTGGCCTTTTGGCTAAGATCAAGTGCAGAATTTGCATGAAAATTAGGAAGATTTGTGGATAGACAGCTCTATCTTTACAAGATAGATTTACAATTATTCCTTCCTGCAACCTTTGAATGTGTACTAGCTCACCACCCACCTGTGAGTTCTTGGGCAAGTCATTTACATCCCTGTGCCCCAGTTTACTGGGTTACATGTGAGCATAATAAGTGTGATTATCTTCCAGTGCTATTTTGAAGATTAAGGGAGGTGATTCACATAAAGAACTTAGAACTATTCCTGGCTTATAATAGAGTTAAATAAATGTTTGCTACTACTAATAATAACTATATGTTTAATATCTGAGCCAACAGAAAATGGGGGAGGTTAAGTGAGTGGGGGAGGTCACACAACTGGGGGAATTGACATTCAAACCTAAGCATAGGTGACTGCTAAGCAGCTAAATTGCTATTTCTAATTGTGCCCTAACTTGCATTGTTGCTCAAAAAGATTAAACAGAAATTTAAGTTTAGAACTCAAGAGCAACGACTTTAGGATTATGTATTAGGTATATCTAAGTGGGGTATTAAAACTCATGAGAACACTGGTGTGCTCTCACCTAATAGGCACAATGTTAGGGTACATGACACACCTCCTGGGTGAGGGGGACAATTACAATTTGGACTCTACCTAATAAATTTAAGCAATATTACTTAATCATCTGTGCCATCATATTAATCTGAAATAAAAAAAAAACACACACACACAAGAACAATCCAGATGGAGGCAAAAGGTTTAATCCATGAAAAGCAAACTCTCATTTAGCAGAGACCATCCAGGGCTCTCCCTACTGACTGACCAGTTAAGGTCACACAGCACTTGTGCTTTGCCAGTACAAACTGTATCTCATGCCAAAAGGGATGTTTTTAACACGAGGTTTTTCAAATGCATATGACTATTAAATACACATAGAGAGGTTCTTAAGATACTGATTCCTGGGCACTAGCCCAGACCTGCTTAATCAAAATCTTTTGAGGATTTTTAATAAGAGTCTCAAATGATGGCAGTGCCTGTGCTCAGTGGGTAGGGCACTGGCCACCTACACCCAGGCTGGTGGGTTCGAACCCAGTCCAGGCCAGCTAAACAATAAAGATGACCACAAGAAAAAAATAGCTGGGCGTTGTGGTGGGCACCTGTAGTCCCATCTACTTGGGAGGCTGAGGCAAAAGAATCGCTTAAGCCCAAGAATTTGAGGTTGCTGTGAGCTACGGCACCATAGCACTCTACCAAAGGGTGACACAGTGAGGACTCTATCTCCAAAAAAAAAAAAAGAGTCTCAAATGAATCTTATGATGAGGCAAGTTTGGCAAACATTGCTCAAATACCAAATAAGACATATATTCATTCAACCATCCAAACACACTCAGAATTAATGATGGAGAAGACAGAAGTTAATCATTACATGAGACAGGTAACCTTGCAGAAAGGAAAACTCAAAAAGCAGCTTGATCATCTCATACTAACAGCCATTCATTAGAATCATGACAGAGTATCCTGAAAGGGTGATATAACATGGTAGATCCTGGTCCACTATAGGTTCACATATACAAAGTGTCCCAAAAGTTGCCCCTAAAAAGTTGCCCATCATACACAGGGAAAATGGGAAAATGTAACTAAATGTGCCTTTATTTACAAAATATTCCCTACAAAATTTTACAAAGAGGCAGTCAACACACAGAGAATATTTTGTAAATATTTTGTTCAATCTGAAATATCACTTTCTCCCTAAACATGTCACTTCCCCAAGATCCAATATTCAATACAAATTTATTTTCTCATGTTCTGTGAGCAGGTCATATAGGCAAAGTGACACTCCCCCCCCCAAAAAAAATGCTGAAGTAGATAAGAAACCAAAGAACGAGGCAGGCAAATCCAGTTTGTTGCATGGGATGATTTATTAGGGGGACTTAGGGACAGGCGCATGGTCTGAGATGGCCACATGACAGATAAATCTCTGTACTTCCCTGGACCATGAAAGCTAAACACACTACTCATGGAAAAAGCCCTGTAGTAGACATGAGTGGATAAAGGAATAAGTGATGAATGAATAAATGAGAAAAGAAGAAAGAGAAGCAGGGAGTGAGGTAGGAAGATATTTACAAACAGGCCTACAGTTGGCAAATATTCTATGTATGGCTGTTAATTGACATGATCTGGGAGCAAACATCATATTAGCTTTGTGACCCATACTGGGTTGATAATCCCTGAAATGAGGACACAGTGAGGTCCAGTAAGTATAAAGAGCTTTGCTTATAGAAGACACAAGATATCACAAGTTTACTCTTACAATACTTCGTTTGAAATTAAATACAAGGCAGCACCTGTGGCTCAAGGGGTAGGGTGCCGGCCCCATATACAGGAGGTGGTGGGTTCAAACCCGGCCCCAGTCAAAAATAAACAAACAAAAAATACTGAAATTAAATACAACCTCATACAGAAAATGTCAGAAGCTCATGTTTAATAATTGTACATGTGCATTTGCCAGGTGAGTTTGACGCCAGTCAAAGGCAGCTTCTTATACTGCAGTGAACAGGGAGCTATAACTGACGGCTTTGCTAAAGCTTATCGCTTCCTCAATAATGATAGACACTACCATTGAATACCTAGTACTTCCTTATTTTATAGATGAGAGGACTGAGATTCAGGGACACCATGTGGTTCAGGCTCACACAGTCTGAAAGAGAAAGATTTAAACTCATATCTATCTCCAAAGACCAAGTTCCTTCTGCTAGTCTACGCTGCTTGGTCAATGTTGTCAAAAATCTTTATGTAAAGATTGGGCAGGAAAAGTAATGATTTTCTATGCATAATGATGAGAAATGAACATGCATAAGTGATTTATTGTGGCTGGATTCGAGTGAATATTTACTTTTCTTATTTTACCACTCTGTGGAAGAGACTATGGTCTTAATAATGCTTAAGGCTAATTTACTTCAATTAAGAAACAACAACTAAGAAAATGACATGAAAGCTATGTTAACCAATTGGATCAAAGTATTTCAAATTGTATATAGAAACAACACACTGTACCCCATGATAGTATTAATGTACACAGCTATGATTCAATAAAAAAAAAAAGGAAGAAAGAAAGAAATTCCTCCAGGCTTTCTGAGTCAAATAGTAACCTGATTTACTGGATTTACCTGATTACTTGATTTACCTGGATTATGCCTTAGTCTCTTCATATGCAGAAGTATCTATAGAAGACTTCTTGAGTACCGTCACTTAAATGTTCTTCTAAAAGCCTCTTTGGTCACATGCTGATTTCAGAAACACTGAATCACCATGCTTGACTCTTTAGGTGACTTAAGAACATTATGCAGGGTGCTACTTGTAGAGAAAATTATAAACCCAACCCTAGCATGTGCTACCCAGGTTTTACCAAAGCACAGTTGTTGACAATTAGAATCAAGTTTAAGGTTTGATTTGTGTGAGCTATTCACCTTTATCACTTGAAGACGGTTGATTTGTGTGAAGCATAAACTAAAGGCAGAGGGGTTCAGAGGGAGTGAAGACTCCCTGACTCCAAAAGGACTCGTTTTACTTGGAATTTTCTATTATGCTCTCTGTCCAGTGTGCCAGGGTTTATCCATTCCTAAAGAGGTAAAGGTAAGAGACTTCCCCTGGAGGAATTTAGGAAAGGAGCTGGTTGTCTCAAAGATGGACATTAAATAGGCAGAGAGACCTGGGATGTGAACTACCTTAGTATGCACCAAAAGAATAGACCCCACACCTACTAATGCCAATATCACCCCCAGTGAGTGACACTGGTCCACAGTAAACAGGTCCCATCACACAGGATGATGGTGTACACAGGATGCAACTCATCACCTACACGATTCAACTCATCACCTAAACATTCCACTCACAGGAAGTTCGATGTAGGAAGAAGAGCAGGAAGCCAGGAAATTTTTTGGAATGCATATTTATGACTAATTACTTTATTTGCTTCTTTAGGAAAATGTGGAAGATGGCCGAGCGAGCATCTATCAATCTGTCATCACCAACACCAGCAAAGAAATGTCCTGTTTCAGTGACTTTCCAATGCCTGAAGATTTCCCAAACTTCTTGCACAATTCTAAACTTATGAAATACTTCAGGATTTTTGCCGAAAATTTTGACCTTTTAAAATACATTCAGTTCCAGGTATTGTATTTTGGGGGAGAATGGGTTTCTCTACATTAATTCAGCTGGCATTTAAATAAGAAAGTTACTCCGATAATAAAAGAAATTGAGAATACAGTATCCTGCCCTAAGTTTTTTGAAAGATAGTGCCCATTATACCTGTTAGAATTTACTCGTCCTCCTCCCCACTTCCACCTGCTTAATTTTCACTGAGTTTTACTTCTATACACAAAGTATTGATGGATTAGTTTCATGCCATAATAAGCCATGTGTGTTTTCAGAGAGGTAAAAGCATCTATGGCCATACCACCCTGAACGCGCCTGATCTCATCTGATCTCGGAAGCTAAGCAGGGTCGGGCCTGGTTAGTGCTTGGATGGGAGAGAGGTAAAAGCAGACAAAGGTTATTAAAGGACAAAAATAAGGAGGATTATATAATTATCTTGATGTAATCATCTTTGGCTATAAAGAATAATAACAAGGGAGATGCCAGTCTGGGACTGGACAGGCAGTGGCTGGGCAAATGTACTTGCAGAAGTTTTTTTGTTTTTTGTTTTTTGTTTTTTTGTTTTTTTGCAGTTTTTGGCCAGGGTCGGGTTTGAACCCGCTACCTCCAGTATATGGGGCCAGCACCCTACTCCTTTAAGCCACAGGTGCGGCCCCAAGAGTGTTTTTTGTGCAAGGTTGACGTTTTTGTAGTCCTCCTTGTTATCAGGACTATAAATGTGAGAACACTCTTTCTGGCCTTCCCTGGCTCTGTTTGTCAGGGTTTTCTTAACATTAGTGACTCCATTTTTACATGACAACTTTTGCAAGACCCTGCCTTTCTTTTCTTTTCTCTCTCAAGTTGTTACTCAGTACTCGACACTCTCAACAGTCTGGTCTCCACTGCCAAGGCAGGCCTCTTGCACTAAGAGAAAGACACTTAGCAGTCTTTGCCTTGAGTGGCCTGAAATTGGATTGAGATGAGTGAAACCCAAATGGAGTTATTTATCACATTCTATCCACCTCTACTGCCAGGACCCTGAACAAGTTCTCTGCTGTGCCAGAGTAATCCTCAATGATGCCTTCTCTGTATTTGTTCAAGACAATCGTCCTTAGTGTAAAAAAATGTCCAGATTTTCCATCCTCTGGCCAATGGAAGGTTGTTACCCAGAGCCACGGCAAGGAGCAAAGTGCCATCTTCGACGCAGTTATGGTTTGCAGCGGCCACCACATCATACCTCACATCCCACTGAAGTCATTTCCAGGTAAGATCCTGCCGATTCCCAGCTTCTTGAAGCAGGTTTCCAGGTCCTTGATGTGCAGTTTGGATTGGCCAGCAGGCTTCACTGCTGCAACTGAATACAGCCCCGAGACTGGGGGAGAGCTGGGAAGACGAACGGCGCCAAACACAGCCTTCCTTTCTATTGACCTACTTAGGTCTTCATTACACAGGCAGCTCAGCTAATATCCCGCAAGGTCACTAAGTTTTCCCTAGAATTTCAGAGAATTCTCATCCAAGCTGGTTTTCTGTTGGAGAGGACATTTTAGCCATGTGCCTGCCTTTGTCTATGCCACCAAACACCTGTGAGTGTTTGGAAGGCTAGACCTTACAGACTTTTCCTCACAGCAATGCTAGTGGAGAGGGGTTCCTATGGAAAGGTCTTAGAAAGAAATGCTCCTACAGGTTAGTGGTGGGGAGAGGAATGCCAGAATAGAACCTTGCATCCATCTGCTCTGGTGCCCGCCAGCCCTTCCCACCCAGGACACGCTTCCAAGGCTCCCAGGGAAACATTTAACACAGTGCTTCGTCATGCAGGCCTCACATTACCATCACCTGCGAAGCTTCTACAGCCCTGATACCTGGGGCTCCAGCCTCCCAGACTGAAATGCTATAGGGTAGGGCTAAGTCAATGGAAGTTTGCTCAAGGGATTTTTAACACATGTATACAGTCAGGATTGAGATCTGCTAATCTAAAGCAGCGGTCCTCAGATAGAATCACCTGGAGAGCCTCTCAAAATTCAAATTGCTGGGCGGGGCCACTCCTCCAGTATTTCTGATTTAGTAGGTGCTATGCTTTGAATGTCCTCCCCCCCTCCAAAAAAACCTCACATTGAAATTAATCCCCAATGTGGCAGTATGGAGAGGTGGGGCCTTTAGGAGGTGGTGGATCATAAAAGTTCTGCCCTTGTGGATTAATGGATTAATCTATTCATGACTTAATGAATAAAAGGGTTTATAGATTAATGAGTTATCATGGGAATGGAATGGCAGTTTTATAAGGAAAGGAAGAGACCCCTGAACATAGCACATTAGCTCGCTCAGCCCCCTTGCCAGGTGACACCCTGCATGGCCTCAGGACCCTTCTGGGCATCAACGCCAGCAAGAAGGCTCTCATCAGATGCAGCCCGCAACCTTGGACTTCTCGGCTTCCATAACTATAAGAAATAAATTCCTTTCCTTATAAAACACCTGGCTGCAGGTATTCTCTTAAAAGCAACAGAAAATGGGCTAAAAGGTATGGCATGAGGCCGAACATAATGCATTTCTAACAAGTCCTAAATCAGTGGTTCTCAACCTTCCTAATGCCGCAAACTTTTAATACAGTCCAAGGGGGTCGCAACCCACAGGTTGAGAACCAGTGTCCTAGATGACACTGAGGTTGCTTGCCAAGAGACGGCACTTTAAGAACCAATAATTTAAAGATTCTTCCAAGTAACCACACTATCAACAGTAAATACTTGAGTAAAGTCGTGTCTTCCAGGGAAATGTAATAGCAGTAACTAAGAAAGGACACAGAGAGGCTTGTCTGCAATTAACAACCAATAAGTCACCAACGTGCTGCAACATGGAAGCCACCCCTCAGCTCCTGCATGTCTAGCTTTCAGCTTAGTTTTGGCTTTTTCAAAATAAGAATGCTAAATATTATTCTAATTATTATATAATTAGAATAGCAGCATGTCATAATACATTTCAGAAATATTTAAAGGACTATCAGCTATGTGATATTAAAGTGTCATCATACAGTTCAAAATAGTATAATGAGTAGTCAGAAGCCAGCATGGGACTCTGCTGTACCCCTCCCCCCACCATTTGTTTGATAAATAGCAACATGCTCACTCTGAAATCAACGCTTTGGTTCTGTACCAAATGCACAGTCCCTAACTTTTCTTATTTGCTTCAAACTTTGAGTTCGCCAGTTGGCCCTGTTGGTGACTCTTGAGGGGAAGAGGCAAAACAAATGATTGACTCCAGAAAGGAAAAGTTTGACCATGCAGTTTCACTTCAATTACCTTGACATGGTGCCTCAGATGTTCACAGCCTTCTCTCTTCTTCTCCCTGAAGGTATCGAGAAGTTCAAAGGCCAATATTTCCATAGCCGCCAGTACAAGCACCCAGATGGATTTGAGGGGAAACGCATCCTGGTGATTGGAACAGGAAACTCCGCCTCAGATATTGCCGTTGAGCTGAGTAAGAAGGCTGCTCAGGTGCGATGCACTCTGCTTCCCTTGGGCCTCAGGTGGGGGAAGGAGGAAAGGGGAAGGAGCCCCGGCTGGATAATCAAGGCTCCATTGCTCCCTGCCTGACTGGTCCCCCTGGGGCAGTGGTTCTCAACCTTCCTGATGCCGCGACCCTTTAATACAGTTCCTCATGTTGTGGTGACCCCCAACCATAAAATTATTTTCATTGCTACTTCATAACTGTACTTTTGCCACTGTTATGAATCGTAATGTAAATATCTGATATGCAGGATGTATTTTCATTGGTCATGACCCACAGGTTGAGAACTGCTGCCTTGGGTGGTATCATTGAAAATCTACAAGTCGAAAAGCCAGAATTTACCTCCCAGATCTGTCACTAACAAGCCATGTACCCTGGAGTGAATCATCTCACTTCCCTGGGCAGTAGGTCACTCATTTTTAAAATGGGAAGTTTTGACCAGATGATTTTCCATTTAAAAGGCCTGTTTCTAGCAAGGGAATTAATGAGATATTGACCTGTTCCTTTCATGTGTGGGGGGGGTGCCTTTTAGTAATTTAGTGCATATTTCAATTACATTTGAAATGTAGATGATCCTCAGTTACCCAAGTTTCATGAAAAGAAAGATTAAACAGAAGATAAGACTCCCAACTAAGACCATAGATATTAGGGTGCCCCCTGAGGCCTTCCAGCCACTGTTGTCTTTGCTCCTGTTCAAGAATGACACCAGCTGACCTCCTGAAGGGTCAGACATTAGAAGACGTTGATGTTGACAGAGATGGTTGGGAATAGAAGAACATAAATCCTTTCTGGAAAGGCAGACCTAGGCAAGCTGGGAACACAGCCCAGGGTCCCTCTCAGCAGGGCTGCAGCAGATCCACTTACAATCACACTAGCCTCTCAGCCTGGGCTCTCTGGCGACACAGGCCTTCCCATGGCCACATCCACAACCAGAAAACCCTTCCTGTCCTGCATCTCGCACATTCAGGGCTTGAGATGCCCAGGAGCAAATGTGATAAATACACAGGGCATCTGCCCAGCAGGTTAATGAAGGGGCTACACGGGGAGCTATCAGAGTCACCAGTCGGTCAGCATCGCTCGGTACCAACCTGGGGACAGAGCAGGGCACTAAGACCAGAAACAGGATTACTAGACCTGAGAAGTCTTCACCTTTTTTTGTGAAAAGAAATCGCTTCTCATTTTTTGAAGCTGTAAGAGCTCGGTGTGAAAAAGTGAGGCAGGCCGGGCATGGTGGCTCACACCTGTAACCCCAGCACTCTGGGAGGCCGAGGCAGGTGGAATGACTGAGCTCATGAGTTTGAGACCAACCTGAGCTAGAGCAAAACTCCATCTCTAAAAAACTAGCCAGGCCTTGTGGCGGGCACCTGTAGTCCCAGCTACTTGAGAGGCTGAGGCAAGAGGATTGCTCCAGCCCAGGAGTTTGTGGTTTCTGTGAGTTAAGATGCCATGACACTCTACCAAGGGTTACCAAGTGAGACTCTGTCTCAAAAAAACAAAAAAGAACAAGTGAGGAGGCACCAGCTATAGAAGCTTGGAGCAGAGCGGAGCAGGAAAGAGGGAGGCAGCAGTCCCAGGCTACTTCATGCTAGGAACACCTGCAGAGCTTCAGGAAAGGAATGTGGAGGGCAGAGTGACAGGAGCTGACACAGCCGCCAGCCAAGTGAAGACCCACCCTGGACCACTGCCTGTTATCAGGTCAGTCCTTGGACTTAGATCTTCCAAAGATATCAAATCTTGGATTTTGAGAGCCAGTTCCTTATATGGAGCTTGCCATGTCAAAAGCCTGTTTATAGGACCACATTCATGAGTAAGAAACTACCTTCGCTGTATTTTGATGCTTTACAGCTCCTTTAAACAATCTTTTGCATGGAGTGTCTCTTCGGTATTTATTAGAGCACTAATATAAATCTACAATTGTTTTTCTAGAAAGATTCACGGCTCAGCGCCTATAGCTCAACCGGCTGAGGTGCCAGCCACGTACACCTAAGGTGGCAGGTTTGAATCCCCAGCCCAGACCCGCCAAACAACAATGACGGCTGCAACCAAAA